GACAACTGAGTAATTAAGTAAAATAATTAAAGTGTAAAAATACCAATTGTAAAAATAAATAACATACAACAATAAATAAGTAATAGTACAAGTCGTTAACAGTTAACAAAAATTATAAATGCTCTCATAACGTGAATTGCGAATCAAGTCGTCATTCATAAGCCATTTGTAAGTCTTTTAATAGCAAACTTCCATGCTGAGGGTAGGCCCTCCGCATCTCTGGCGTTTATACATCTATATGTTTTTTAATCCTATTTGTTGGTTCTCGTACAGGATGTTATAAACTCCTGCTTTATCTTCTTTCTTAATATCCCCTTTATCGTTTATTAAAATTTTAAATAAATTAGGAGCTCATTTTAAAATCACCATTGATTCTTCTATGTCAGCAATCTCCTTCATAACGCTTCTTACATTTTTGTTGTAGGTGAATTTTATGTATTTACTAGGTCTTTGTTTAGAGACCTTTGTATATTGTATCTCAAAGTTTCTAACAATGCCGGCAATTATGTTTTTCCTGTAGCCTAAGGATTCTGCTATCCGTTTAATCCTGTCGATTTCTTTGTCTCTGTCCATAATATTGCCGCAGTATAAAAAGGCCCTTCTAACTAGGGCACGAAATGCAGCCAATTTATAACGAAATGGATCCTTAGAATGTGCGGATATATATAGTGGGCTATGTGTAGGCTATATCCCTGCACATTCTAATGATCCGTTTCGTTATAAATTGGCTGCATTTCGTGCCCTAGTTAGAAGGGCCTTTTTATACTGCGGCAATATTATGGACAGAGACAAAGAAATCGACAGGATTAAACGGATAGCAGAATCCTTAGGCTACAGGAAAAACATAATTGCCGGCATTGTTAGAAACTTTGAGATACAATATACAAAGGTCTCTAAACAAAGACCTAGTAAATACATAAAATTCACCTACAACAAAAATGTAAGAAGCGTTATGAAGGAGATTGCTGACATAGAAGAATCAATGGTGATTTTAAAATGAGCTCCTAATTTATTTAAAATTTTAATAAACGATAAAGGGGATATTAAGAAAGAAGATAAAGCAGGAGTTTATAACATCCTGTACGAGAACCAACAAATAGGATTAAAAAACATATAGATGTATAAACGCCAGAGATGCGGAGGGCCTACCCTCAGCATGGAAGTTTGCTATTAAAAGACTTACAAATGGCTTATGAATGACGACTTGATTCGCAATTTACGTTATGAGAGCATTTATAATTTTTGTTAACTGTTAACGACTTGTACTATTACTTATTTATTGTTGTATGTTATTTATTTTTACAATTGGTATTTTTACACTTTAATTATTTTACTTAATTACTGAGTTGTTGATATTTTTGAATTTTAAATTTAATGTTCTATTCTTTGTGGTTATTCCATATTCGTTTTTTTCAACTTGAAGATGATCTATGAAGTAGATCGAAAACGTTCGTTTTTTTAAATAAACTCCCTTGGCAACGGATTAGGTGTTGATTATTTTGATCATTTTGGTAACTTTTATTAATGCTGAACATACATTTCAAATTCGAGAAAGTGCAATTTTTTGTTTATTTATGTAAAAGATTGAAGGAAAAGTAATATAACTAACTTACTTTTTTAAGAGATCAAAAAAGGTTACAAATTAAATGAAAACTACCTACTTATGTAGTTTAGTCATCTATATATTCGTCTATAAAAGAACAAGTTCTGATAGGATAATTAACGCAGAGCCAATACTACTGGTGCTAGAAACAAAAATTTGAGGGTTTATTCCTTTTGTAAAGTTTAGGCATGCTAAGAAAACATTATACAAAATTCAACTCTAAAGGGGTGAAAAAGGGTAAAAAATTTGTTTGAAAATTTTTACTGCATGGTCACATTAGATCGAAACTTAGGTCACAAAATGTGAAAAAATAATAATTAATGATTTGTAAAGCATTTTTATGAAATCATCTCTTATTATAAACTTGAAAATTAAATTAACTTTTTTGTTTCATTGTACAAAATTATTTATCATAACTGAAGTTCCAGACAGCTTGGTAGCCTGAACGGCCCCAGGCTTTCACCTGTCCACGTTAAGTGACTTTCATTACAAGCATTTAGCTTTCCGAAGTCTATGAGAACAATTATTTGGCATTGACGGCCGTGAATTTTGTGCCAGTAAGCTGTCTTGACTTGTTTGATTATGTTATCAACTCAATTTCATATTTATTTTCACATTTTCACTTCGCGGTCCTTCTCTGTTCTTTTTCCGTTATTTACACGTATAGGTCATTTCATTATTAACCACATTGGATATCATCATTTATCACATACTTCCATGACACTCTTGTCTGTCCGCTACAACTGCCAAGAATTAACACGATTGCCGAAGCGTAGTTACAGCGGACCAATAGAGAGCAAGATCCTTGCCATAATGCAGTTTGTGTGCCAATTTTCATATGTGCATTAATCAAGCCAAATATTCGGCTATTCGGCCTGAGGCCGAATATACTATTCATTGCAACACTAATATTTTTAAATAATATTTTAATAGAAATTCATAATTCTTTATCTAATAGTGGTTGAATAATTTATTCTTTTTATAGAGCAAAAATACATTGTCGCCATTAACAAATAGTGACTAAGAATTTGTAAAATTATGAATGAAAGAAACATTTAAAGAACAAAATATTTTTAAATTACTTGGGGTGAGACTATGCAGATGCGAATTTAGAGCGAGCGAGAGGTTGCGAGCAATTTAATTTTCACAAAGGAAAACCATGCACAAACGAAAAGCAAGAAATAATGCTAGCAGGAGTGAATTTCTGGTTCTTGCACATATCTGACAGGTTTTGATATTTATTGCGTCTCACCTCTTCTCGCCACATATTCTCGCTCACTCGGAAAATTTGCTCGCTCGCATCTGCATAGTTGCAGCCTTGGACTAAAATCCAGAAATATTGTATTGACACAAGAAAACAACCAATTATTTCTGTTGCAAAATATGCACAAGTATATATTCTGCTGTTTGATTTTGTCAGAATGGAAGAAAATAATACATTTAATGTAATGAATAGGCTTGTATATATTGAAATCATTAATGTGGCTATTTCAGGATGTAGAAAATAAAAAAATTTTCGTAAATTTAAATTATTAATTTTAATTGCTTCTTACCATAATAGAATTCTTTTTTAAATGATGTCCAAAAGTTAATGCAGGATTTAAATTTCATGCTATTTTTCTCCCATTGGATTTGCATTGCCATATGCCACGACATCCCATAGTAAACACATTGCAGTTAGTCAATATGGAGCAATATACTACGGAGGAGTGCGTAATGATCATCAAAACTTATTACAGGTATAGACAATGTTTTTCTGCAACCACATACAAATTACATTTCATTTTTGGTCAAAGAAACATGGCAAATGTTTTTTTGACCAAAGACTGATTGGAAAATTTGAACAAACAGCAAAAAGAACCAGCCATACAAACAGAAATTTGAAAAGTTATCAGCAAAACAGAGCTGCAATTGTGTGAAAATGTAATTGAAAATTACCTCAAAAGAATGTGAGAATGTCAGATGAATTGGGCATTTGTCAGATATTTTGTTTCATGTTTAATTGCAATGTTTACCCTTTAAAATGATGTATTGCATAACTTTGCCAATTAATGAATAAATAAAACATTCTTTTTAAAATTAAAATCATGCAGTACTTTTGGGACACCCTATATTTATGTTGATATTTTATGTATGATTTATATTCATATAATTTATTTTTTAGGTATCGAGAATATAGATTCCATCCTTCATTAAAACTGACCAGAAAGTACAGTCCTCATGTTCACAATATGGATGGTTTTTTTGTTGCAAAATTAAAGAAATTTTCAAATGTTATTCCTAAAACAGGTAATTAATATTTAAAATATAGCATAATTATTTTAATTAAATCTTTTTATCATTTTAAAATTCAGATATCAAAAAATTAATAGTACAAGTTGGCAGTCTTAACCACCTGCCTCTTTTAAATAGCCAAAATAATATACAAAATTTGATAAATTAAATCATTAATCTAATAACAGCCTAAAAATTTGACTTGTGGGTATTAAGATATGCTTTTTATTCTGTAAAATATATCAGGTTTTCTTTAAATTTGAATTAGATGATATTGAGCCCATTCTCAATACATAATGATTTAAAAAGACCAGAGTAATTGTTCACAAATTTCTTGTGTTGTATTCAAAATCTTTAAGGCACAAAACTTACAATTACATTGATTCAGTTACTAACTAGAATTTAGGTTGAGAGAGAAAACTGCTTAATATTAAAGAAAAATTGATTGGGCCTTGATTAAATAAACACACACAAAGTTTAGTTTGAAAACAAACTAAACTTTGTGTGTGTTGCAAGTAAATTTATGGTAAATATTTCTAATTACAGTAAAGTTAGGAATATTGATTTTGTTTGCTTGAAAAATTAAGCATTCTTGAAAATAAAAACAAACATTATTATTCTTATTAGAAATATTTAGACAGCAAAAGTTTTGATTTAAATAGATCATGAACTGTGAAGTTTAATTAAAACCAAACATTAATAGTAACTTTTTCGTAATATTTATCAATTATTTCTTATGTTTAATTATAAAACTTTCAATTAAAAAACTTTCTCTTGAAACAGATTATGTATTAATTTATTTAGTAAATGAAATTTGAATAATGGTGTAATGTTGCAGGGTGAAAATTCTATTTATTTTATAATTAGAATCTATCCGGGCTCAGATTTGCTTGATTCATATTGGGAAAGTTGAAAACTTTATCATTTGAATACATTTGTAATATCTGGAATACGGTATAAGCCTTCTCAAAGAAAAACTGACTCGTAATTAAGTTTGTTGCATATGTTTGGGAACCAATAGCTTCGTGCAGTGTTTTAATTTTAAATATGGTTGGACCGACAATAATCTAATGGTATTTTCATTCTCCCTACTGATGCAATTTTCTTTAGCTAATTAATTTCCAGAATTTTGAATATAGAAAATTGCCAGAATGAGAAAATTAATAGAATAAATATTAATATACAATCGGTTCATTGTTTGCAGCAATTAAAGGATATTATTAGTTAAGCATTTGTTTATTTTTTAGCATCCAAATTTGGAAATTATGCGTATTTAAATGCAAGATCTTGAAAGTTTGTTTGCAGGAGCTGCATAAACTGAAGTAACATGGCAATGATGATTTGCATAAATACAATTCACTATAATAATTTAATTTATCCTTGACATATTTACTAATAAATTAACAGAATTATTGAAAACACTTTTATTTAAACAATAAAAAATAATTGTCATTAATCCTACATATATTTATTTTAGCAGAAGAGAATGATACAAACAAAGCGATGACAGACAAACCAAAAGAAACTGAAGAAGCAACTCAAAATCAATCGAAAAAGACAAAAGGTGTAAAACGCAAGAAAATCAAAGAAAATTCTGCCGAAAGTGAAGATTTGGAAGAAGAAACCGAAGAGGCAGAAGATCATTCCGTTAAACCGTTCGGCGGCATAAAAAAGAAAAAATCGAAATGGCTAAAAAATAAGAAAGCAAAGAAAGCCAATTCCTTCAAATGAGTAAATGGAAAGCGTTAATGTACATAATCCATTTGAATGAAATAAAAATCTTCACACTCTTATTTAATCAATGCATTTGTAAAAATTAATCTTTATTAGATAATTCATAGCTTTATTTAACAAGGACAGGCTGATGGTTCTCTCATATAAAATGAATTTTGAGACATTCATAAACACCTTATTGTCACTTTTTTTTTTGTCTCTGTTCCAACTAAAATTTACAAAATTATCAGCCTGCCACAAAAAAATCTTAAGATATGCTTTCTATACACAAACCTACCTTAGCACATCTGTACAGGACATAGCTGCAAGCACACATATTATTTAGCATTACATCTATTGTAATAAAACACCATCTTTGAATTCAAACATCACAATCTATACCATTTTTTCCATATGTATAAACAGGAACAGTATAATACAAAAAAATTTGTACATTTTTTATTTTACAACACAGCACAAGTTAACCAGTCTTTTCAAATAAATAACACTGGATTCACAACATTGGAACTATATTCGCGTAGCCATTCACATTGCATATCTTTCGTGTATTAGATATGGTGTCAGTGGCCCTCTGTAGCCACTTAACCAAAATAAATATACATTGGTGGAATAGCCGTAGAGTTAAGGGAAATAATACATCACAGTTATGTTCACAAAATATTGGAAATATGGTCCACAGATTCTTGTATTGTGGAAAAATGGCAGGAAATGTACAAAATACGATTGGAAATGCTATCGTGGCCGTCGGAGGCAAGTTTCTTGCGGAGACCTTTTTTCTTGGAGGAAATAAAGCATCTAAAATACCTTAATTCAGCACCATCACGTGAGCACTTGTTCGGCTCGGCGTCCGTCAGCAGTTGAGAGGAAAAGAGGAAGACGTGGGAGCATGCCGACGCGCCCGTTCCAATTCACAAATTTGAGCGTATCTTCTTTTCGAATGAGAGATTTCGGACGCTCACGTCAAAAACTTTCTTCAAAAATTCACAGACGGGCTTCTGATTCGACGATTATCTGCAGAAGTAAATTTTGATGCAATTCCTATTTGCGAATTTCCTTTTCCTCGCTTCTCGGCACTTGGACGTCCAGCCTTGAGTGATAGTGTAGAGCAGGGGGTTTTTTAAAAATTGTTGCATATTTTATTATTGGCAAGGGTGGAGAGCAATGGAGAGCAACTTCGTGTTACATGGCAAGGCATAGGAACTATTTTGGCAGCTCCCCAATTCCTTGCCTAATAGGATATGGAAGTAAACAGGACGGGGGGAGGTTTAAATGCATACAGATAAGTGTTCTAGGTTGGAATTCAGAAGACTCAAATCCATTTTTTTTTATTAGCCTGAAGTTAAATAATTTTGGTCATGCTACAAAAATATGTTCTTTAAAAACTTGAATAAAAACTATGAATGTTGGTTCTTTGTTTGGTTTGTAACGCAAGTTTACATTGTCACTGTCGAAACAAACTGAAATTCTGGATAGTTTGAATCTGTTTTATGATGAGCTTATTAGCAAACACTCTCTCGAATGAAACAATATCACCATAACACTTTTTATACAAAAGAAAATGATATGTGTATATATATGTATATATTCATATTGTTTATACACAATATCTGCTCCATTTAAAATTGGAAGAATATGTGATTTTTCTACCAAGAATAATTATGAGCAATTGTCTTTTACATCACGTTCATACTGATTACTGTGTGCATTCTTTTCTCAGATCTTAGCTGCACATCACAGTAAATTATGATTTGAAAACATAGCTTTGTTGCATTTGTTCGTCCATCTTTCGACAGAATATTTATATAAATAGTCTACGCTAGACTAAGAATCCTTCGGACATATTTGCACTTAACTGAGCTCTCATCGTCTGCACACTGTTTATAATTTTCTTTTGGTGTCCTACTAAATTAATACCTAAAGCCGTCAAATCCTTAAGGGTTAGCCTTGCCACTTCTTCGAGCGTAGTGATATTTGACTGTTGAAAATTCTCTAAGTATCGTCCCATTTTTATGCTGGTTAACCATTCTTCTACTGTTTTGAACTGCGTCAAATCTGGTGCATTGGGATCTAGCGGATTCTGATGCCTGAAAGTATGTGGGAACAAAATTATTATAAATTTCAATTCCTAGAATATAAGGATGACTTAGCCAATAATTTTATCTTAAGAAAAATAATCTCACTGTTTATTTAGTGCATTGATAGAAATAATTTATGTTTATTACTAAAAAATCATAATTATAAAATTTTTAAACAGGTTGATCAAGTGAAAAGTTTAGTTGCAAAGAGTATACTTGGCAGGAGTCAGCCGTGCTTTTTACTGTCCTGCTAGACGTTGGGAGAAATATGTATATCCTCGACATTTATTTACCACAGACACTCGGGACAACATCGACAACTGATACTACTTAACAGAGTTGTCAAGTCTACTTCTTGCAAGTATAATTTTCATTTGATCATCTGTACTGTACATGAAAGTTACATTAGTATAAGAAAAATTCTTTTGAAAATTGACTATAGATGTTTTTCAAATTAAATTTTTATGGTAAATGAATTGTAACAGGTTTATTATAAGGCAGGGAAAGAAATAGCAAATCTTTTTGAGTCTGCATGCTAAGTATCTTAAAAAAATTTATGCATGCTAAAGTTTTAGACATTGAAGAAATGAAGTGAATATACTTTTCTTTAATTAAGCAGCTTTTTTTTATAATTTATTTTAAAAAAAGATGATATACTAAAATGAACATAAACCCATATAAAAAATTGAAAGTATACAGTAAAAACTAAACAAAATTGTATATTGTGTGCCATGCTATATATTTGCTATCCCCAACAAAATTTTTATTTTCAGGTTGCAGATGTATTTGCAACCTGAAAATTAGTAAAACATCATCAGATATCACTTTATATTGGGGTTTATCTTATAACCTCGGGATTCAAGTCAATCCTGGTCTATCAGTGAAGTCCAATTAAACCCTAAGTTAAAATATGGCACTGTATAGATAGTAAGGTTGACTATAGATAATTTGAAGAGGTAGAATTTTAGTTAGACAGCACTTTCTAATCCAAGGTTCATGGAAACAGTTTTTAAAATAAAATTATAAATATTGAGTATATAAAGACAGTAAACACACTGTACACACTTTTCCGGTAATTAAATTTAATTAAAGCAAACATTTCCAACCTTATTGATAATGATAAGCCTTTGTTGGATTTTTAAGTAGAGATTCTATTTTTGGAATAAAGTATTCTTGATGTAAATTATGTTTTTTTAAAATCATAAAGGGTTTTTTGATTATCCAATATAACAGAAATATAATGCATTTAAATATAAAACTAAATATATTTTATTCTATTGATAATGTATCAATAATAGTCATAACAAAAAATTACGAGTATGGAAAGTCGCAATCAAGTTCATAAGTCAAGAACTTATCAATGAAAGATTGATTAGGGAAACTCTGGTTCAACTCACCATATCTTTCCAAAGGAGATGGTGAGTTTGAACCAGAAGGTGGTGATCAAGATCTTGATTCCTACAACATTATCAAAACAGACATGATTTGGAAGACATTGAATCAAGTTAACTATGAAAATAGTAATTATTTCAAATGTAATCCCATAAATGTGTTCAATAAATGGTTTCAATAGTTCAGAAAATGTATGAGTAATTAAGGCATTTCAATTTTTACCTACTTGTTTCCTGCTGCAAGGTAATAAATTCTGGAGGATATTTTTAAAATAAACTAGTCCCAGGCTTAATCAAGGAAATATGGTATATATCTATAAATTTGTTCAGTAATGATAAGTAGTAACTAGAGGATGTGTACAGATATTTTTTGTTGTTATTCTCCCAAGTTTTTACTCAAAAATACAGATATAATTATCAGAACATGTTTTTAAACAAGAATTGCAGAATCAGCTGATAACTATCAACTGATTCTGCAACTCTTGTTCTTTTGAAATGTGCTTTGTACAAAAGACCACATAATTTGTGTATGTGTGATTTTTCAAATATTTTTCATCACTTGTTATAAAAAAAATTATAGCAATCTTAACTATATTGCTATGATTTTTTTAATTAAAAATTTTCAAATAAATTTTACACCTTCATTTCTGAATACATTAATTTTATAATAATAATATATTATTTTGCTGGCATATCATAATTAGTAAGAATTTTATGAGGATTTTGTAGATTCTTTTCAGTAAACTGTAGATCCAAATTTAATTACTAATTACTTCATTAGTTAACTGTTAAATAATTTAAAATTATATTTATTTTTTAGCACACACTGATTAAAAGTTATCTTTGTGTAGGAAAGCCCATACATATTTTGCTGTAATAATTATGAAAGCAGTAGACATTTTTGAATATAAGGCAATAGAATAAAAATAAAAGATAATATACAATCAAGAATGTGAATAAAATTATTGATTAGTAAAACTCTTAACAAAAATCAATAATTTTCAAAGCAATCAAACAACTTCACTAAATCAATGACACTGTGTTGAAATAAATTACATATTGGAAGTTATTAAAAGTTTGTCTAAAGTACTTTTTATCTATATGCTATATACTCTGATTTATGCTTATTATGTTAGGAGCAAAACTATTAATATAAATAGTTTTGCTCCTAACATATCTATGTAATCTTTTCATTAATGTAATTGTAATAATGTAATAGAAAGTTTTGACTTCTGTGTCTTTCATTGATTTTTCCTAACTATTACTTTCAGTATAAATTATATGTATTATTTATTATAATTTAATCATAAGAAAAAAAAACTGGAATTTATATTAACCTGTTCATGGCAATTTTTCGTAAACTTTCGGGACATCGCATCAATTTGTCCAGTGTTTTCACAATTGTGGCAAACATTGGACGATGCGATCTGTCTTTTTGCCAACAGTCTAACATCAGTTGATGAATAGCTTCCGGACAATCCTGCAAGTATTAAAAAGTTTTTATTTTANGGACCCTAAGCCAAGTGTGCATGGAAGGAAAATTTTGTTGTGTGTATGGTGGGATCGTCGAGGAATTATCCATTTTGAGTTGTTGCCACGCAATGAAACTGTTACTGCAAATGTATACATACAACAGTTAGAGCAACTTCGGCTAAAACTTCATGAAAAGCGCCCTGCACTTGTTAACAGAAAAAAGATCACCTTATTGCATGACAATGCAAGGCCACACACAGCGAAGATTACACAAGAAAAAATTTTGGAGTTTGGCTGGTCTGTTTTGCCTCATTCACCTTATTCACCGGACCTGGCACCAACAGATTTCCATCTTTTCCGGGCACTGCAGAATGCTTTAGGAGTTCGTCCAGGAGTTTTTTGATTCGAAATCACCAGAATTTTATGCAAGAGGAATTGACAAGTTGCCCGAAAAATGGCAAGAAGTCATTAATAATGATGGTGAATATGTGATAGATTTAAGTCTATTGCTGTACATTTTATTGGCAAATAAATTTCAGTTTAGAAAACGGAATTTATTTATGACTCAACCCAATATTTATTTTTTAGCACACACTGATTAAAAGTTATCTTTGTGTAGGAAAGCCCATACATATTTTGCTGTAATAATTATGAAAGCAGTTGACATTTTTGAACATAAGGCAATAGAATAAAAATAAAAGATAATATACAATCAAGAATGTGAATAAAATTATTGATTAGTAAAACTCTTAACAAAAATCAATAATTTTCAAAGCAATCAAACAACTTCACTAAATCAATGATAATGTGTTGAAATAAATTACATATTGGAAGTGTATTAAAAGTTTGTCTAAAGTACTTTTTATCTATATGCTATATACTCTGATTTATGCTTATTAATATGTTAGGAGCAAAACTATTAATATAAATAGTTTTGCTCCTAACATATCTATGTAATCTTTTCATTAATGTAATTGTAATAATGTAATAGAAAGTTTTGACTTCTGTGTCTTTCATTGATTTTTCCTAACTATTACTTTCAGTATAAATTATATGTATTATTTATTATAATTTAATCATAAGAAAAAAAAACTGGAATTTATATTAACCTGTTCATGGCAATTTTTCGTAAACTTTCGGGACATCGCATCAATTTGTCCAGTGTTTTCACAATTGTGGCAAACATTGGACGATGCGATCTGTCTTTTTGCCAACAGTCTAACATCAGTTGATGAATAGCTTCCGGACAATCCTGCAAGTATTAAAAAGTTTTTATTTTACTATAACTTATTATTCGCTTTCAAGTTTTATTTGTAGAGAACTATGATATCTATATATCCTAGTTCTCTACAAATTATATATATCTATATATATAATTAATATATACTTTATTAATTTTTAATTTGTAAATTATTCTGTAATAAACTATAAAATAAATCTGAAAATTGTTTTATGAACAACAACAACAAAAAAATTGATTATATAATTTTTCTCATAATTATAATTATCATAATGAGAAAATTGTTTAAAGTAACAAAAACTGAAATATAAAATATTAAGGCTTTGCATACTTGATTTATATTTTAGTAGCAATTGCAAAGTCTTCATTGACAAAATTTACATATAAATTTTATCAATGAAGATTTTTTTGGTTTAAAGACCCATTATTATGTGCTTGTGCATACATATGATGTTTATTTTAAACAAAGTAAAATTACAAAACACTACCTTTCTAACAATCATACCTATATTAAGATCTTTTAAAAATAAAGATGTTGATTTTTCACAAAAATAAAAAAAGAATCACGTAGACTCTTTTAACAGATTATATTGTGTTTATTTTTAAAGTTGAAGTAGTTCTTTCTTGTCTGTAGACATTACACATTACTGTGTTTGATGTAAAAGTTGATAAAGAATAAAGATTTGTGGCACAGTAACAGTAAAACTTCATTAAATTTTATGTTTACAAAAAAAGCGCTTGTGTGGTTTATTTATATATAATAAAACCACAACTTTGAGTTTACAAAGATAATAAAAATATTATATATGATATCATACAATATTTTAATATGGAAGAAATATAAAAATCTCAATTTTCAAGTTAGTTTTAAAGCTGATTGTGCTCAATCAAAGAACTAGCTTACAAATTTTCTCATGAATAAACAAGTTCAAAACAGTCCATCATAAAAGCCCAAATCTCTAAAACTAAATATATAGTATCAATATCCTTGCATTATACTAATCATAACAAACAAGGTTTGAATAACTGAAAAAATATTCATGCAAAACTGTAAATTTTACCGTGAAGCTCTCCTAAAGCAGTTTAGATTGCAAATCTAAACTATTAATATTTTTTAGTATAATGTTTTATGTATAAAGTATTACTTCATTAATTCCTTCAACAAAAACTTCAGAACTAATTTTATTATATTTCACTGACAATATTTTCAAAAAGTCTGCTAATAACAATTTTGATTTAAATTTCACTTTACGTATAGATGCTTCTATGTACTTTTTAATGAAGATTGTTATATGAGGAGTACACTGAAGTTTTGATGCTTAATTTTATTGTCAATGTATTTTACCATCAATGTAATAGATTATTAGCCAAATAGTAAGTTCAGCTCATTATCAATTCAGTATATTACAGAACAATATATTAATATTACATCAATTTATGTATTGGGATACATTTTAAAGTAAATATGTCTTCAAGGAATATAACAGAGGCTATTATTTGAAGGTTATTACAGTGGTACCTCAGGATACGAAATTAATCCGTTCCGAAACTGAGATCGTATCATGAAAATGTCGTAAGGTGGATCATCTTTTCCCATACGATTACATGTAAAATCAAATAATTCGTTCCAACGCGAAAAACATACTCAAATTAAAGCCAAGTAATACATTNATCTTGATTAGACCAATTCCAATATGGTCGTTCGCCATAAGACATAACCTCCCAACAGACGATTCCAAAACTCCACACATCGCTTGCTGATGTAAATTTTCGGAATGCAATTGCTTCCGGAGCTGTCCATCGGACCGGTATTTTTCCTCCCTGCACACACATTTTACACATTTTAGAATTACTTATGTATGAATGTAAACTTTTAAAATATTATTTCTTATATAATTTCAATAATTTAAATGTAAGAGAAAAAATAATAATACATACTCTAGTAGTATATGCTCCTTCTGTAGCACTTTCAATCTCCCGAGATAAACCAAAATCAGCTATTTTACAAATAAGATTGGCACTAACTAAAACATTTCTAGCTGCAAGATCCTATTAGGAAAAAAATAAAATAATCGTAATTTTATAAAAATAAAAAAAAGCAAAAATTTCTATTAAAATATCTAAACGTACCATCAAGGATTCATGTTTATTAATCTATATTGATATATATTTATTTTAGCAAATATTATTAGCATTATCAATTATTATTTAGCATTAAGATATATATTAATTATTAGCAAAATTTAATAACTGCATCTTCAATAAAATTGAAAGTATAGTGCAGTAAAACCTGTAAATCTCAAATTTGAAGGGACCAAAAAATGGCTAGTTTGAGTTAGAGTTCTCAATAAGGAAGCACACTGGACTCTTGCTAATGCACCTCTCAATTCTCTGGCATACCCATCAAAATATCTTTCTCTTATTCATGCTTATTATTTTTTTAAATACATATAGTAAACTTATAATATTAACTTTAATAAAGGATTAAACTTGAATTACTATATCCCTGTGCATAATTCAACAATAACAAAGTACAGCTCCAAAAAGAATCAGTACAGAAGTGCAACAAGCCATGCCTGTCATTGACTGCTTTTAGTCCTATATACTATGCACTCTCAGCTCAACAACTAAACTTATAACATTAACTTTAATAAAGGATTAAATTTGAATTACTATATCCCTGTGCATAATTCAACAATAACAAAGTACAGCTCCAAAAAGAATCAGTACAGAAGAGCAACAAGCCATGCCATTCATTGCTTTTAGTCCTATACACTTGGTAATCTGGCACTCTTGCTAATCCAGCAATTCTCTGTGCAAGGAATGGCTAGATTAGCAAGAGTCTACTATATATGAAAAATAGAATAATTTTATTCGAATGTAATGTAAAACAGTAGAATAACAATATAATTCTGTAATATACTTAAGTATATTATATTTATTTGAATCATTTTACAACAATATATGAGACTGTAATAATGTTTTAAATAAATATCTTGAATGTAGATATATCACAAAATTACCTCTATGTTACACTGAATTTATTCAAAAATCAAGTTTCACATAATACATTACATCAAAAATGACATAGCTGTTCCAAATAAAATGGGCTATATCACTCATTGGCTTACTTATCTAGCTGTATTAAAGCTACTTTATCAGGCAATGCACCAAAAAGATTTGCAAAACTTAATAGGTTGGTTGGTACCTGGTGGGTTCAACTTAAAGAGGGACAATGTTGAGATGTGTGAAATTTAGAAAGAAAAATATATATACAGGCTGTTCAACATGCTGACAGTCTAGTTTGACATAAGGAGGGGGATTCAAGGTTAGAAGTTTTACATAAATAGTTAGTAAAACTAAAAGAAACACTATTGTATTGAATTATACAATTACACATAAAACCATACTGTAATATCAGAGTGTACCATATAAAATGAAATTCCATGTAATTTCCACCCGAAATTGTTCTAGATAATTGCATACACACTCATATAACCATTTACAATTAATATATATTTTAGTAAAATAATAATTGAATAGTTTTATCTATTTATTTAAATGATACTTTTATTTTCATTGTAATGATATTAAAATATCTTACAGAGGATAATATAGTTTATGGGTACCGGTAGCTTAAAGTATATTTCTATGCTTTTAAATGGTTATGCTCATAATATATTTTAGAAAATAAAATATTTTTCAAATTTTATACTTATAAAAATGCAATAAGAATAAATTCATTAAATTGTTAATAAAGATATTAAAGCTATTATAAATATAATTATACATCTATTTTTCTAGATCTATACATCCAGTTTATGTGAAAACATAATTGCATATCAGTAGTTTAATACTGTAAAAATTTGTTTAATGTTTGAATGTATTCCAGTTTCTGAATACAATAATGAAATAATGATATGTTTGAACTACAAGATCATTTTAAAAATAAAAATCAAATACAATTATTNTATAAGTTTTACATAAATAGTTAGTAAAACTAAAAGAAACACTATTGTATTGAATTATACAATTACACATAAAACCATACTGTAATATCAGAGTGTACCATATAAAATGAAATTCCATGTAATTTCCACCCGAAATTGTTCTAGATAATTGCATACACACTCATATAACCATTTACAATTAATATATATTTTAGTAAAATAATAATTGAATAGTTTTATCTATTTATTTAAATGATACTTTTATTTTCATTGTAATGATATTAAAATATCTTACAGAGGATAATATAGTTTATGGGTACCGGTAGCTTAAAGTATATTTCTATGTTTTTAAATGGTTATGCTCATAATATATTTTAGAAAATAAAATATTTTTCAAATTTTATACTTATAAAAATGCAATAAGAATAAATTCATTAAATTGTTAATAAAGATATTAAAGCTATTATAAATATAATTATACATCTATTTTTCTAGATCTATACATCCAGTTTATGTGAAAACATAATTGCATATCAGTAGTTTAATACTGTAAAAATTTGTTTAATGTTTGAATGTATTCCAGTTTCTGAATACAATAATGAAATAATGATATGTTTGAACTACAAGATCATTTTAAAAATAAAAATCAAATAGAATATTATTTTATCCCAAGGAAAAAGCTAGTTCTTTGTATAATACATTTTATAAAATATTTAGGACATAAAAATAATTGTTTATTTAATTGTCCCGGATATCAGAAATATCAGTAAACATAAAAATAAAGAAATTCTATTGTGAGATATTTTATGTTTTTCCTTCTATTACTTCCAACCTATAATTGCAGTTTTTGGCATAAATCCAACCATTATTAAATATTAATGGTCATATATCAGAACAAACATGATTAGAAGTTGATATAAACTACAGCTTAAGTATAGACTTTGTATTTTATAATTATATACTATAAAAATTAAAATGATTAAAAATAATAATTATATATTATAATTAGCTTAAAAAAATTATGCTTATAACACTGACATACAATTAAATTTCAGAAATTGATATCAGATTATCCAATTAGAAAATAATTAATTAACTGGAATGTAGAAATTTTACCATATTTAAAATATATAAACTAATTATATACAAATAATAATAATAATTGGAATATCTAATGTATGTAGATATATCAAATGAAAAAAATTACAGCCAATTTAAACTCATTTGATTTTATATTTATACCAGTAATTTAATTTACAGTTTGTTTTTAAATTGTCTTATTCCACTTGATATTACTGAATTCAATTAATTAATTTCTTTTTGTGCATTTACATTTAGTTATAAGGGAAAATTATTTGTATGATATTACAAGCACATTATACAAATATATATTATATTCAAATTAATAGATATGTAATGAAATTTTTATGTATTCTGATTCTTTTGAATATAACAAAAATATCTTAAAACTTGCATTTATTTTTATTTATAAATCTTTGAGAAGATTGTATTTAAAATTTTCCAGTGTGTAAAATTACTGTTTGTTATGTCTGGATATAAATTTTAAATAAATATATATACAGTGGAACATCTATATTTGTCATTAATCTGTTCCTAAGGACCTAACAAATATGGAATATGACAAATATAGAAACAGTTTTTCTCATAATAAATAACTGATATTCAATTAATCCATTCCATCCTGAAAAAAAGGTACAAGAATAAAAATTATGTTGTTTGTAAAACTTTATCTTTATTGTACTAAATAAATACAGTATAGTGGTAGAAGGGAAAGAACAGTATTATTAATATAGTATTGTTGTTTAGAAGAAGACATATCAATTAAAACATTAGTCAATTCCAATTATGATCATGGGTGATGATTCAGTAGCACTTGATTTAATAAAGAACTTGTCCAGTGTTGTGTGTTTTTGTCTGCTTTTTAAAACTTTTCTGAAGTAGGCAATTACATTACATTGAATGTATTTGTATTTTGGTTGACTATAGCAACATTTGGGAGCCACTTTGGAGCTTGGTTTCTCGCATTGATTATTTTTCAATAACTCAACAACACACACGACAACTACACAAAGCAGATTGATTAACTACAGCTAGCTGATCGGCGCGGGCGTGCAATTGTAGTGCCACTTCTGGTGTAGGGAATGAACATGAATACAGAAAATACTGGCGAATATAAAAAAACAAAAAAGTCATCAAAATGTGACGAATATTGAATATTACGAATATAGAGGTTCTACTGTATAATGAAGAATGTCCACTACTGCCAAAAGTCTCTTAAATTGAATGTGTTTTAAAAACATACATTAATAATGAACTTACAATATACAGGATGTATTCAGATGTTATTGCAATATATAAATACGAGTAAAATAATATAATGTACATTGAGTAATTTATACTCAGTTAGCTCTCTTATAGTGCTCTATTCACAAAAATAAGTTATAAATTTTACTTAGGAATTTTTTGTCAGTTAAATTGAGGGCTTATTATATTATACTAGCAGAAAATATTTTTTACAAAGAATTAAATTTATTATAAAATAAATTACTGTACTTCTTTAAGCTCACCTTCTTGCTTATATATTTAGAACTTATCATACAACCAATGATAGGATTTTTAAATTGTGCATACTGTAATAATATAAATTGTAGGAATTATTTTTGTTAATAAAATAATTAACAACACTACAGTTTAAAAGTCTTATCATTGGTGTATGACAAGTCTTAAATAATATTTAAGCAAGGTGAGCTTAAAGAAGAATAGTTACATATAAAGATGAAAAGCTTAAAATAAGTAAATTACTATTTATCACAGAATTTCTTAATAAAATAAAAATTTTGTGCAAAAATTGAACAGCAAATATTGTTTTTTGTATTTTTGTTAAATTCTTTTCCTAGAAATTAAATTATATAAGGCAACATTAGCAGATTACAATTGCCAGTGTTAAATCTATCAATAAGATTGATATAAATGTTATAAGTGATTTTGTTACTTCCCATAGCTAGAGGGCACATAAGTATCATGAAATCTAAAATATAATTATATTTGTCTTCTCAAATACATTTCTAAATTTTAACT